TTAATGCTATTCCTGGGGGCGGACCAAGTCAAAGCCGCTCTGACTCACACAAGACTGACACAGAAACTGCTGCTGAGAAGCATCAGCTGTCAGAGTTCAGTGGCACCGCTTTTCGTAGCAGTAGAACCAAAACCGCGTCTTCTTAAAACAGAAAAAGCACATGCTAACATCACCCTGGCCTGCGTGTTGTCATCTGCAGCCTGAACCACCAAGTCCACTTTCAGGCCCAGCTTAGCCATCCCTTGGAATCCGAGACCCTCTGAAACCGTCTCGCTGAGCATGTGCCCAAAGCCGGGCCCGTTCATGAAGAGGGTGTGCCGATGAGACGCCATCAGCTTGTTGGCGTTCTTTTGCTAAGTGAGACAAGCAAATGCAAAGCGTGCTGAGTGCCACGGTCATAAATCATGAAGTCAAGACACGAGGTCGATGGTGAGGCTTCGAAACGGTTTCGTCATCAAGGCCAGCGTCTGAAACAAACTGTGAGCTTCTTCATCCACCAGAGCCTGGGCGGATGCCAGACATGTCATGAGAAGATGTGCTTCTTTGTCTTGCAGAGCCAGGTTCTTTGACACAGAGCTCCAGGATTCTGTCGAAATCTCCCTTCTTGCCCTCTTCATCTTTCTTCTCCACGAAGAAAGGGTTCTTGCCTTCCTCACAAACATGAGACTGGTTTCGCAGCAAAAGAATGAAACTGGGGCCCGTCCTCTATGGAAGACCACATCACCAACAACAAAGTCGATGAGTACTTCTTCTGGAACCCGTCGGCATTGAAGGACCATGCGCACCATCGCTTCTTGTCGTGAATGGGGCCCTGGCGCCTATGGGGCAAACAAAGCAAGGGAAGTAATTAATCACCACACAAACCTCGCTCGCTAACGTCCACCTCGTCACAGCATCCAAGCATTCCACGACTCTCTGGAAGTTCAAGGCTGGGTCCATGCTCATCGAAAACCCGTTCCTCACAGGCTGCACGTGAGAAGACCTGACACACCACCGCAACTCTCGCTTCACTGTTCTGCCCAAGCGTCTCTGCCAGGATGGGCTCCTGAAAGAGTTGTTGAAGCATGTCGTCTTGCTCGGCCTCAGATTTCAATTCGACTCGCAAGACTGCAGAAATGCTCAAATTTGAGGCTGCAGGCGCCCCTGTTTCAAAACATCTGCATCCCGGCGTCGATCTCCAAATATCGCTTTCCACCCTCTTGCCAGGAAGCACCTAGCTTTCCGGTTCCCCAAGGTGAGCGACGTGACTTCATCAGCCAAGACGTCAGAGCGTGCATGCCTCAGATTGTGCTCGCAAACAAAGTTAAGTGTATCGCTAGTTTTGAAAGAGGATGCACCAGGAGCTCCTTGCGGTCGAGGATCGTTTTACTCCCGGACAGCAATTGAAGACGTGCCCCAGATGCGCGTGGAGCTTGTGTCTTGGATACAGTGACACTTCATCTTTAATGGCACTTGTCCGCAGCACCACAAACAGACTTCGACCCTCAAGAGGCAGAGATGTAGCGGTCAGTCTGACCACAGACAGACACAGACGCATAGACAGACCTGTGCTAAATGAGCGAGACCGTGTGTTCCGTCTAGCAGTCAAGACTGTTTGTGGTGCATCCAGGTAGGGAGATGAAGATTTGTGTAAGGCATAGGCATGCCGTGTGCAGGCAGAAATACAGCAGATCAAGTCAAGGAGCAACACCACGAGAAAACATATTTGACTAGGCAGCAGCAGGGGAAGATCGGAAACTTCAGTGGACACAGAGCCTAAGACAAAATGCCCCTACAACATTGCCTACTCGAGCATTTTTGATGGATGCCAAGTTGCAGCTCGTCCCTCAACAAAGCAAGTGGGAGGCCGCGTTGGGCGAGGAACTGGTAACCGCTATAAAGCGGCGAGCCCTCGTCGGGACACAGCACAAGTCTCACGAGGCTAGGTGCTTGTTCAACAGGAATGTCGTTCCAGATGGCTGCACCAGTTCTCTCGTCGGTGATGTACGCTCTGCCATCGTAGTACTCCCGCCGTTCAAGCTGTTGGGGGTTCACGGGTCGGAGAAGCGGAGTTGGAGGCTGGAGGTGAAGCTCCAGCAAAGAGACAACGTGAAGAACAGCTTTCAAATGTTCCCTTGCCGCCAGCTTCTGCTGGCGAAGCTTTCCGATTGTTTTTGGCCTGCAGAAGCCCGCTAAGCAAATCTAAGCAACGCAGCTTGGCGCATGCTACATGGTTTTTCTGCATCCGAGTTGCAGCTTACTCATCGTGGCGGCCTTGTCATCGGATTGAAGCATCTTGACAGCCAGCGTGTCAGCCACAGTTTGGCTTTCGCGAAGCTTGCTCTCGTGATCGGCCGTTGCTGGGAGAAGGTCGGGCAACCTTTGAAGCGTCCAAGCCAAAGCCCTCTCGCCGATGGATATGATAGGCACCCAGACCTTGATGGCAGTCTGCAGTTTCACGCGAACATTTTGCAAAAGCTGCTCATTCTTGGCAACGGCTAAGCGCACGACGTCCATTCCAGCCTTTGGAGAAGCGTCAACCAGTAATCCAAGACTTTTGTATTTTTGAGCACTCATCTCCTGAGACCAAAATCTGTCTTCTTACAGAATGCAAAGTCTGGACAGAGTTCTGCCTCCTGAAGCACCGTCGCTGCTTTTCTCAGGTATCTGAACGCAAAGTCGCAGCTGAGCCTGCAGAGGACACGCGGTGAAGGCTCTTTGTTGCAAGGCCCGAGATATAGATAGACCTGCCAGGCAGCCGGTGAGCGTGCGAGGGACAAATGTCCTCAAGTCCAAGCATCCGCAGATCATCATCTGCCGTCTTCGTCACAAACCCCGTGCTGCGAGTCAGAAAACGGTCTAAGCAGAGCATGTGCTTGATCTTCCTCTCTCGCTTCAACCCTCGTCCATCCCTGACAGGGGTTTGGAAGGTTACAGTTTTTTGGGAGATTGTTCGAAACAGAAGCACCGGAAATCAGTTTCTGCCACTGCACAGGAGGATCTAAGTCTCTGCTTGTTTTGGCCGCGCCTTTTGGCAGGATGAAACTCATGCGTAGCTGTCGGCATCGGAATGCTGGGGACGAGGGTCTGATTCATGAAGGCTTCGGCCTTCTGTGCCAAGCTGTGGAGCAGCCTCTTCTGGATTCTTTCGTTGCGCACCTGTGCCTGAGCAAAAGCAAAGGCACGAGTTCACGAGGCCCAGCAAAAAAACACTCGCCTCTGCAGAGATCTCTTGGAAGGGCTGCCTCATGATGAACCAAGCAGCCAGAGATAGCTTGACTCCTGCCGAAACAAAGACTGGGAGACGAGGCAGTTCACGAAATCCAGCCTCCTGTCAGCTTCTGTTGCGCGGGCGACAGCTGTCTGCAACGGAGCCACCTTTCCACTCGTGCTTTCTCTTGTCTATAACCTAACTAAAATCCGTGAGGAAAAAACAGGCCTCTTGTCCCAGCCGACATACGTGAGGAAAGTCTCCCAGGACGCCAAGTCCACGTCGTGGCCCAAGGTCTTCAACCTACCTGACATGCAGGAGTAACTCGACGGAACATTGCATGCTTCAAACGGAAGAAAACAATGCATAGAAGCTGCAAGCTGGAACGTTTGGCAGAAGGTCCAGCACCATGTCTTTAGGGCACATGTTCGGGATCAGGGTCTCCAAGGCAGACTTGCATCCTTTCTGCAGCTCAAGCTTGCAACCGCGAACTTGAAGAACTGAAACAGCCTCAGTTTGGAACTTGGTGCTGCGCGACACATGAGGCGGGAATGAGACAAGACACAGCGAAGAGAATGCCAGGGACTGTGAAGCCGTCAAAAGCCAGGCGTATGGGCTGGCGTCTCGCTTCGATCTTCCGACCTCGATACTCTTGAGCTCGCACTATGTGCGTGTCCATATCGATGGCCCAGGCTGTTGACATGTCAGCTGTCAAGTTGTCTCTCCTGGTTGAGTCGCATAGGATTTAGGGTTTAGGGTTTAGGAATAGTATAAAAGAAAAGCAGTTGGGGGTGCTGCTGCCAAGGTACACTTTCGTGTACCAGTTGTGAAACTTTTGTTGGCGGCAGAGAAAAGGCCATATCTCTGCGACCCTCCAAAAAAGGCGATAACCATCAGCCGTGCAGTTCTGCACCTTTCTTATCAAGATTGCGTAGCAGCTGTGCAGTCATATGTTTTCCGAGCAGCCTGGTGTGCTTCCAACACTCCTTCGCGAGCTCCCCGCACGGTGAGGAAAAGTGTTTCGGATGGAGTGTAGGGAGTGTCCACAGGATCTGCTTCTGGCAGATCAGGGACTTCTGCTTCGGCAAGGACAAGCTGCTGCTCTGGAGACTGCAGCCATCGAGGGCGGATGCCGAGTCCAGCAGCTGCGGCCTCTGCCCGGCGCCTGTCAAGCATGTCCTCTCAGATGTGGCAGAGCAGAGATAGGGAGATAGAAGCAAACGAGGAGACACAGTCCTCCCATGCATCGGCAGACAACTGCTCTACCGAGGCGGATAGAGGTCTTCCATCTCGAACTTTCTGGTCGGCAATGGCTATCTTGGCATTGAAAGCGAAACGAAGACGAAGCTTCTCTTCGAGATCAGTCGTCCTGCCGGGAAGTCTGAGGCATTTTTATATGTCATGCTGTAGGTATACTGCGTGTGCAAAAACGAAGCATCTGCATCCAGGACGATGTGCGTATCCGGAACGTGTTGTTGCAGTTCAGGGTCGGTCCGGCCTCTGCGCTTCCTGCACCTTCTGTCCGAGCCAGGCATCCATTGTGAGCCTGGCGTATAGGTGTCTGCTGCAACTAATAGTTCTGGATGACACTGGCAGTTGTGCATGAGGGTTGCTGCGTGAGCGACGTGTGCGCACGTTGTCGGCGCCTGATAGCTCATCTGGAACGCTTTGCAGCAAAACATGCAGAACGCTTTGGAGCATGCGATTCCCTGAGACTCTTTACACAGTGGGAGTTTAGGCATAATTGCGCGTAATGGTTCTGCATGAGGTGTGCGGCGCAAGCGACGTAGGCGCGGGGTCTGTGTTTTTTGCGGAACGCTGTCGACATCCAGAACGTACTACCCCCACCTGTCGCGGAGCAGCTACACAAGCAGAACGTTCAGTAGCTGTCCAGAACGTTCGGGAGCCATCCAGAACGCAGTCGTGCAGAAAAGCCTTGATATCGTTGCAAAATACTGAAAATAGTATCTCTTTTGTTTATTACTACTGTAGGTTTGAAAAGAAGAAAAGCTCTCCCCGCAATACTAAACTTAAGCAACTGCCGCCCAACCCCAGCCCTCCGCCGGAGCAGCCCGACGAGGCATTTAGACTCTTCCGGAGGCCGCGTCCCGAACCCGCGCGCGGAGCAGCCCGACGAGGCATTTAGAGTCTTCCGGAAGCCGCGTCCCG